CGAGTAGCTGGGACTACAGGCGCCCGCCACCTCGCCCGGCTAGTTTTTTGTATTTTTTAGTAGAGACAGGGTTTCACCGTGTTAGCCAGGATCGTCTTGATCTCCTGACCTCGTGATCCACCCGTCTCAGCCTCCCAAAGTGCTGGGATTACAGGCTTGAGCCACCGCGCCCGGCCCGAAGTTGTATTTTATGCGCACTAGGAGAGTTGGCCATTCAGAGAAGCCCCATGCTAGGTCATGTTGTAGTCTTAGTAGTCACTCCTCAGTTGCTCAGATTTTTACATACTCCCTTTCTTTTGGTCATCAATGGGTAGGGTTGGGGGTAGGGTAAGGATGGGCAGTTCCAGGGCTCTCCCCTGTGTATCCTGGAACCTGAGATGTGGAGGCATGAAAAAATATGCCTGACAATGTCAGAGGAGAGGGATGGCATGGAATGGGAGGCAAGGTAGGGGGAAGAGAAAGAGTTGGGTTTGTAGTTATAATGCATTTTCTTTGTAGGAAACTTTAGAGAATTTAGATAACCAAAAACAAAGACCAAGCCAGCTGCAGTCGATCACACCTGTGATCCCAACACTTTGGGAGGCCAAAATGGGAAGATCACTTGAGGCCAGGAGTCTGAAACCAGCCTGGTCAATATAGCAAGACCCCGTCTCTACAAAATAAAAATTTAAAAATTAGCCAGGCGTGGTGGTGTGTGCCTGTAGTTCCAGCTACTGGACAGTCTGAGGCAGGAGAATTACTTGAGCCCAGGAGTTCGAGGCTGCAGTGAGCTATAATCACACCACTGCACACCATCTTGGGCGACAGAGTGAGACTCTGTCTCAAAAAAAAAAAAAAAAAGACCAAAATCCCTTGTAATTTCACTACCACAGATAACCACATAGAAACGTTCAATGTAGTTTTATTTCTTTTCATAAATACAGTGTACATTTTAACAAAAATGGGGATACACTGTATACAAGGTTTGTAAACTCCCTTTTCCACTTACCAACTTGTCCTGAAGAGTTTGTTTTCTTTTCTTTCTTTTTTTTTTTAAATGGGACATCACTCTGTTGCCTAGGCTGGTCTCGAACTCCTGGGCTCAAGCGATCCTCCCCTCTCAGCCTCCCAAGTAGCTGGAACTGCAGGCATGCACCACTGCACCCAGCATGAAGGGACAGTTTGAATTTGGACAGGGAGTGATGGTGGGAGCCCAGGATGGCAGAGGGAGGCCTTGCTGCTAACGAAGACTAGTGTAATCCAGTCTGGCCAGAGGTGGGAAGGGCATGTGGGAGGACAGTGGAGGTCAGATCAGGGAGGGAAATCAAGGCGAAATGGTGCAGTGCCTTGAATGGCAGATCTTGGGGTTTGAACTTGATTTCTCATGATGTTGTCACTATGAGTTACTGCAGCTTTTGGAGGGAAGCCAGGCCTGAGGAGGGCTGTGCCTGGGGACGAAAGTCTGGCAGCAGTGCATGAGGTCAGCTGGAGAGGGTGAGCTGGAGGCAGGGAGGCCTGGCTGAGAGCTACTGAGGGCCAGGTTCAGATCTGCTGCCCAAGGGGGATCAGGTGGGATGAGGTGAAGGGTCAGGGACACCTCTGGGAAGAGGTTCCGGAGCCATTGCTGGATCCTTTGGAGCCACAGGCAGCCGTTCTTCCTGGGCAGGAAGGAGCTCTGTCCAGCTGCTGATTTCTAGGCCTGTCAGCTATTCAGTCTTAATCTAATTGCAGTACAAAAAATGAGATTAATTTATTTGCTATTTTGAGCTGGGCATGGTTGCCCACGACTGTAATCCCAGCACATTAGGAGGCTGAAGCAGGTGGATCACCTGAGGTCAGGAGTTCAAGACCAGCCTGGCCAACATGGTGAAACTGCATCTCTACTAAAAATACAAAAAATTAGCCTGGGGTGGTGGTGTGTGTCTGTAATCCCAGCTACTCAGGAGGCTGAGGCAGGAGAATCGCTTGAACCTGGGAGGCGGAGGCTGCAATGAGCCAAGATTGTGCCACTACATTCCAGCCTGGGCAACAGAGAGAAATTCTGCCTCAATGAAAAAATAAAATAAAAATATTTGCTATTTTGCATTCATTCCTTCGTCCAGCAAGTACTTCTTAAGAGCTGTGATGTGCCAGGGGCTGTGTTGATGGGAGCAGAGTGGACATCCATGTTTTCATCCCTTTCCTCTCCCCAGGTGCGCAGATACAAGGGCCTCATGGACTGTGCCAAGCAGGTGCTGCAAAAGGAAGGTGCCCTGGGCTTCTTCAAGGGCCTGTCCCCCAGCTTGCTGAAGGCTGCCCTCTCCACAGGCTTCATGTTCTTCTGGTATGAATTCTTCTGCAATGTCTTTCACTGCATGAACAGGACAGCCAGCCAGCGCTGAGCGCAGGAAGGACCCCAGGCCTTTCCTGGAGGCAGCCTCCTGAAGGAAGATTCAGTCTCCACTGAGAGGTGCTGTCTGGCCCTTCCCTGCGGGCCAGCTGCCCCCAGCAGGGTGGCAGCCTTGAACCCACCCAGCTGGGACACCACCAGAAGGTCCAGGGCTCTCCCCATGAGAGGATCAGAGGGAATGCAGGACGTGGTCTACGGTGAACCAAGGACACAGCGAGAAGGAGCAGGAAGTTGCTGTTTCTCCTCTGACCCCAGCCCACACTCCAAAGGAAAGAGATGCCGTCCTACACCTGTCAGCCCTGTCTGCCCGGAGAACAGAACGCTCCTGGTCTAGATGGGGCTGCTGCTTGAGTGCAGAGGGCTGCAGTAGGCCCTTTGCAGGAGTCACGTCCCCACACTCGGCCTGTTTTTCCCAACCTATTTAACAGACATTAAAGCTAAACGCACATTCCTTATCTTCCGTCTCCCCTGGCACATCTGCCTGCTCACAAAGTATGACGGAAAAGACTCCTGCCTTCCTCAAATCCCATGTTCTCCACAGCTGCAGCCCTTGGCAGCTCTGCTTCTAGTGCTGGGGGAAACTCCAGGCTGAGCCATTCACTTCCTGGGCCCCGTGCCCAGATCTTCGTGTCTGCAGACACACACCACCCAGGCTGTCCTCTCCCAGCACCGGGCTGGTCATGGCCGTGGGGCTCCATGGAAAGCAGTTCCCAGCGCCCGTGCAGGAAGTGGAGGGGCCATGCTGTGGGCAGGCATGGGTGAAGGTGCAGCCTCTCCCCAATCTACCTCACTCGCTCCTCTTTCACCCGGGGCTGGGTCGGCCTTGCTGGGTGAGGAGCTGTCGGCAGGGCAGGTGGCATCAGCGCCCACTGCCTGCTCCTCAGTGCAGAGCATGCTGTGGGTGCATCCGCCCCTGTAGCCGCAGAAGGGCCGTGGCTCTGAAGCAGCCCGCTGATGGGGATGGCAGAAGGGGCGGGCAGGCAGCCTGGTGAGGGCACAGCTGGTGCCTGGGGTGTTACCAGAGCACAGGGACACCCACAGGCAGAGAGGCAGAGGAGAAACCAGTTCCAGGCTGCGGGGAGGTCTCCAGAACATGACCTGCACCCTTCCCTCCACCTGCCCGGCCTGTAGGGTTGCTCCGACCTGGGAAGCCCTCCATTCTGCCTCCCTCTCCAGCCTTGGAAGGAGGCACCCACTGGGAGCCGGCGCTGGCCCTGGCGTGTGGGTCCTGGGCTGCTCCTCGCACCATCCTTCCCTGCTTCTGGTCTGGGATTTTGGGGTCTGTCTGGGCCCTGAATGCTGGGGCTTCCTGGCTCAGGGCTGCTGGTTCCCAAGGTCCAGGCTGCGGCGGGGGCAGCGAGGATGCAGCTGCCTGAATGTATTTTTTATGAAATTCCGTTAAAGCTCCTTCTCTTCATCTCTCCTGCCCGTTGGTTTCTTTTGCTGCAGCTGAGCGTTGTCTTTATCCTCCGTTTTCGGTGACCACTTTGGCGGTTCTTTTAAAAGGAGGCGAAAACGCGGGCAGCGCCGGCAACGCTCCTCCTGGTCCCGCGGCAGGAGCGGCGGCAGTTCTTCCCCTCTTCTAGGTGCCCTCCTGTCACCCAGGGCAGACGCCGGGCGGTGGACCGGTCCGCACCACTTCAGGGGCACTCGCAACAACCGACGGCCGCGAGTTGCCCACGGGGCCCCTTTCTCAGGGCTGCCCCTCCGACCTGAAACTCGCTTCGACCATGTCCTCCTTGGAGCGGGAGAGGGTTGTGGCTGGCCCGGGTCCTGCAGCCCCTGCCTTCTCTACCTGGGTGAGGGGAACGGGGAAAGTGGTGCGACCAGGGCAGATGCTGTTCCTTCTCCCACCGGGTCCCCACCACGCCCTCTGCAGGCTCCTCCCACGCCGCGCAGCCCAGCGGCGTCTCCCGGCCCCGTGCACCTGAGCTCCGG